AATTGAACTGAGTTAAAAGGAAATGCTGTAGCTTCCCCCTACTATCCACCTCTGGATCCAGTTCACAATCTTACTTCATCATATAGAAAATGAAACTGACAAGGATCTCCAAAAGTAAATCACTATTTGGGCAAATGAAACAAAATGCTTCACTAATCCCAATTATTGGTTGTGCCTCCTGGACTAGAAGCATTTTGTAGACAAAGGAGTGTTTCACAAAAGTGAAATGTCGTTCAGGCGAAGAACAAAACATTTTCCACAAACACTTAAAATTTCAAACTTTCAAATGGCCCTTACAGCTGAACCATCATTATATTACAGTAGCGAGGGTTCTGGGGATCCTTTAGCAGCTAATGCCGACTTAAAGGGCACGGGGTCTCTTCGAGTTGATCTGCTTGCTGGCTTGTTCCTCTTCTTGTAGAGCTGCACGAAAAGATTTCACTCAAGAATAGCTTCAAGTTGTGTGGCATATGAATCTACATCATAGTCTACTTCTTCAGTCATCTCTAGGAGAGCCTTTTCATCTTCTAACCATCGAATAGATTCCTGGAACACTGCCCTGTGATCTTCTACAACTTGTTCTTCCATTTCTACCATTTGTGAGACAGCTTCATGGAAAGTAAACAATTGTGGAGAAACTTCTTCTTCATTTTCTTCACAAAGAAGTTTTAGATCATCTCTTTGAGGGGAACTCCCCACACCCCACTGTGTCTCTAAGTCATCAATCTGTTTTGGGGGATGGTGCATTATTGGACAAACATCACCAGCAGCAGTTGGATCTACAGTCAATTCTTTGACCCTATTTACATATCTTAATGTATTAAGAGTATTTTCACAGGATGCCATTCCTGGAGAGATTGTGGCAATCATGCAGGTACAAGAGTTTTCACCTATGAATGAATCTCTTAACACCTGAGTGAGTTTACTTGCTCGGAAAGGAGTATGAGGTTTATTTCTACCTAAGGCTCCGATGCACTCCTTGAGTGCTAAAAGGCTTTTATTAATTTCAGCACCTTCAAGCTTAGTTTGCCTGTCTGCACTAGAAGTATCAGCTCCTCTTTCATTTCCAGCCAAATCGATGAGAGAAAATTTGCCATGTAGTTTTCCTTTCCTTCTAAGAATAATCTGAAACACTGCATGGCTCCGAGATGAATGTGCATTTGCTGATGTTTGACTGGATGTTCTGCGACTGTTGTCTATGTCAATGAGTTTCAGGACATCTTCAATACATTTGACCTCCCGTTCCTGTAATCCCACCACTTGAACCTGCTGTTTTCCATCTTCTAGAACTCTTAATTTTGTTTTCCTATTTAGCAAGTCAAACACCTTTCCATTATAAATTTCAAAAAAGGTTGCATATACTTGAAGTTCTAGTTTCTTATAGTTTGGCTTCTTTAGCATTAAAAAGACATCTCGAGCTGCTAAAGCATAAATCCCTTTAGAACAATCTTGGTTCTTTCCTGAAGTCACCACCCATAGTATGAGTTTTTCCACTTCCAGTCTGCCCATAAGCAAAGCATGTAGCCATTCCCCTTTCAAATATAGTTTCCACTAGTGGTCTAGCAGTAAACCTGTAAACCATTTCATTAGGAGTTGAGTAATCAAAGGCATAATCAAAATGAAATGTTTGGTTTTCTAGGTACCTTGCTAAATCTGTTTTTTGTTTTGGTTCATGTACCATCACAACATCTTTACTAGGAATTGTGATTACATCAAGATCTTTCATTTGAGTTTCTTTTTTATTGAGTGGTCGTTTTCTTACACAAACACATATCCTATGTTCATCAATAGGATCTGCTGTTATTAATGGTCTATAGTCCAAACTTACTCTAAAGTCTCTGACCATGCACATAATTTCATAATTTGGATTTGTAGCATCAACATCCTGGGCTCTTTTTTCTCTAAGTTCTTGCTGCTGCAGTCTCCTTTTTTCTCATTTTTCTTGCAATTTTTCTACTTCTTTCACACAATTAGATTTTCTATGTGAAGGGGGTCCAAATTCCTTTTTTGCAGCTTGAACTGGAGATATATCTGAAATACTACATTCTGTTGTGCAGAGGAAGACTGTTCAGGAAGCTGACTAGGCCGTGCACGTGCAGAATAAACCACTCTATTATCTCTTGGAGGAGGGTCATTCTTAACAGAAGATTTTTATAGCTAAGATTTCACAAACACAGGCAACAAAAACAAAAATAGACATGAGATTATATGAAACTAAGAAAATGCTCAGCAATGGAAACAATCAAGGGTCAAGAGACAATCTGCAGAATGGGAGAAAATATTTTCAACCTATTAATCAGACAAGGGACTAATATTCAAAATATATAAGGAACTCCAACAACTGAACAGAAAATATGAAAAGACCTGCTTAAAAAATGCACAAAAGATATGAAGAGACAGTTCTCAAAAGAAAATATGCAAATGGTAAAGTGTAAAAAAAGATGCTCAACATCACTAATCATAAGGAGAACACAAATCAAAATCATATCCCACAGAAATAAGATTTTTTCTCATCTTAGTTTGAATGGCTACCATCAAAAAGACGAAAAATAACAAATGCTGGTGACAATTTCTAAAAATGGAGCTCTTACACTCTGTTGATTGGAATGTAAGTTAATATAGTCATTATGAAAAGCAATATGAAGATTTCTAAAAAAAAAACCTAAAAAATCTAACTATTATGCACAATCCAGTAATCCTAACACTGTGTATCTAAAGTAAATCAGTATATTCAGGAAAGCAGAATATCAAAGAGATCTCCACCTCCATGTTTATTGTAATACTATTCTTTTTTTTTTTTTGAACTGGAGTCTCACTCTGTCGCCCAGACTGGAGTGCAGTGGCCGCTCTCAGTCACCGCAGCCTCGACCTTCTAGGCTCCAAGTAGCTGGAACTAGAGGCGCACGCTACCACGCCCGGCTAATTTTTTGGATTTATGGTCGAGATGAGGTCTCACCAAGTTGCCCAGGCGGGTCTCGACCCCAAGGGCTCAGGCAATCACTCACCTCAGCCTCTCATTTTTTTTTTTTTTTTTTTGACTTGGAGTTTCACTCCATCGCCTAGGCTGGAGTGCAGTGGCACACCTACGGCCACCCCAGCATCACCTGCTGGATTCCACGATTCTTCCGACTCAGCCTTCCAAGTAGCCGGAACTACAGACGTGTGCTACCATGCCCTGCTAATTTTTTGTTGCTGTTGTTGTAGAGACAAAGTCTTGCCAAGTTGCCTGGGCTGGTCTCAAATCTTCGTGCTCAGGCAATCCACTTGCCTCCGCCTCCCAAAGTGCTGGAATTACAGGCTGATCCACCAAGACTGGCCAATGTTATTCTTAATAGTCAAAATGTGGAATCTACCTAAATGTTCAGCAGCAGATACATGAATAAGGAAAATGTGTTACATATGCACAATGGTATACTATGCAGCCATAAAAAGGATTTAAATCCTGTTGTTCATGTCAGCATGGATGATCGTTGAGAACATTAAGTAAAATAAGTCAGGTACAGGAAGATAAATACTACATATTCTCACTTATATGTGGGAACCAAAAAATAATTGAGTTTATAGAAATAGATAAAATAATTTTGGCTATTAGCCGTTGGGAAGGGTGGGGAATAAAGGATAGGGAGAGGTTGGTTAACAAATATCAAATTACAGCTAACTAGGAGGAATATGTTCTAGTGTTGTATAGTACTATAAGGTAAATATGGTTAACAATGACTTGTGTATTTTCAAAAATCTAGAAGAGAGAATTTTGCATGTTCCCAATACAAGAAATGATAAATATTTCAGGTGATAGACATGCTAATTAGCCTGATTTGGTCATTACAATTATATACATGTATTGAAATATGACTCTGTATCCTATAAATATGTACAATTATTATGTGTCAAATAATAAAAGAAAAATAAAGTGAAGAATTAGGTTTTTTCTAAAAAGAATATGTGACAGAGGTCTTACATGGCCAGAAAGCTTAAAATATTTACTATCTGAGTCTTTATAGAAAAAGTTTCCCTAACTTTTGATCTAAAAGGTGAAATCCATTTAATCAAAGGTTAACTGAGCTAAAAAAAATTTAATGATTTCTAAATTTAAAATATTTCCAAAAAATATTCTCTAATTACAGTGCAACAAATTTAGAGAATTTATTTTAAAAAATAAACAGGTCATAATAAAAATGATGTCCTGCCTGAAAATATAGTAATCATCTATTAAGGAACTCTAAGTAAAAGAAGAAATACAATCTGAAATAACAGATTTTCTGATGAATAATTATTATGAAAGTACCATATATCACAATCTTTGTGATATATATACTACTAAACACTTTTATTATGAAAAAAATTTTTTAATGACTTTTGTAAGTCTCACAATAACCACAAAGTAAAAACCTATAGCAGGTAGACAAACAATAAAGGGAGAGAAATCACAACGTAGCACTACAGAAAATCACCAAATTACAAAATCAAAAAGCAAGAAAGGAAGAGAGAAACAAAGAATTTGCAAAACAACCAGAAAACAATTAACAAAATGGCAGTAGCAATACCTACCTATCAATTATTACCTCGAATATAAATGGAGTAAATACTGCAATCAAAAGACATAGAGTGGCTGAATAAATAAATAAGATCCAAGTATATGACATCTACACAACACTCACTTTAGTCTTAAGATTACCTATAGACTGAAAGTGAAGAAATGGAAGAAAATATGTAGTGCAAATGGTAGCCCAGAAAGAGGTGGCTATATTTATAACCAATAAAATAGACTTCAAGTTAAAAACTGTTGCAAGAGGCAAAGAAAATCATTATTTAACAATAAAGGGGTCAATTCATCAAGAGGGCAGTTGCAAATATATAGGCACCCAGCATTGGAGAACATAAATATAATAAAGTATATATTAATGAACATGAAAGGAAAAATAGATAATAATGCAGTTAATAGTAGGTGACTTAAATACCCCACTTACTACAATGGAAATATCTACCAGACAGAAAACTAATAAGAAAATACTGGAATTGAACTCTACTTTAAGCAAAATGGACCTAACAGATATATACAAAACTTTCCATCCAACTGCAGCAAAATACACATTCTTCTCTAGTGCACTTGGAACATTCTCCAGGGTAGACTATATGGTAGACCACAAAACAAGTCTTAACAAATTTGAGAAGACTGAAATCATATCAAGCACTGTTTCCAACCACAATGGTATTAAACTAGAAATCAATAACATGAGGAATTTTGGAAAATTCACAAATATGTAAAGTTAAACAGCATGCTTCTGAACAACCAATGGGTCTAAAAAAAAAATCTAAAGGGAAAGTTCAAAATATCTTGAGACTAGTGACAATGGAAGCACAGCATATTAAAATGTATAGCATGCAGCAAACACTGTTCTAAGTGAAAAATTTGCAGCAATAAATTCCCATATTAAAAAGGAAGAAACAAGTCAAATAAATAGCCTAACATTACACCTCAAGGAACTGGAAAAAGAAGAACAAACTAAATCCAAAGTTAACAGAAGAAAGGGGAAAATTAAGATCAGAACAGAATTAAATCAAATAAAGAATAGAAAAATCAAATCGTGGAAAAAAATCAAGACTTGAAAAAAAATAAGCAAAATCAACAAACCCTTAGCTAACTTAGAAAAACAGAGATTTAGACATATAAGATCAGAAATGAATGTAGGAACATTATAACTGACACTTCAGCAAATAAAAAAATCTTGAGAAACGATTATGAGAAGTTATATGCCTACAAATTGGATAACCTAAATGAAACAGTTAAATTCCTAAAAAAAATTACAACTTATCAAGATTGAATCAGGTAGAAATAGAAAATTTGAACAGACCAATAACAAAGAGATGGAATTAATAATTTCAAATTTCCCAACCTGCTAGGAGCAGTGGCTTGTTCCTGTATAATCCCAGTGCTTTGGGAGACAGAGGCAGGAAGACTGCCTGAGCCCAGGGGTTTGACACTAGCCTGGGCAATTTGGTGAGACCTCATCTCTACAGTAAATTAAAAGATTAGTTGGAAGTTGTGACACATGCCTATAGTTCCGCTTACTTGGAAGGCTGAGGTCTGAGCCCAAGAGATGGAGGCTGCAATGACTGTGAGTGACAGCCTAGGTGACAGAGTGAGGATTTGACTCAAAACAAACAAACAAATAAATCAATCAATGGAGGAAAAAAATAAACTTCCAGCAAAGAAAAGTGTAGGACCAGAACACTTTACAATTGAATTTTACTAAACTTAGAAAGAGTTAATACTTCCACTCTTTCAAAATATAGAGCTGGAGAGAATACTTCCAAGCACATTTTACAAGGCCAGCATCACACTGATACAATTTATCTGATGAACACTGATGTAAAACCCTCAATAAAATTAGAAAATCAAATTCAACAATACACCAAAAAGATTATATACCATAATCAAATGGGATTTATCTCTTGCATGCAAGTCTGGTTTAACATATGCTAATCAGTGTGATGAATCACATTAACAGACTAAAAGACAAAAAGCACATGATCATATCAATTGATGCAGAAAGAACGTTTGACAAAGTTCAACATCTTTTCTTGTTAAAAACTCTTAACAGTTCAGGTATAGACTAAAAGTTCCTCAGCATAATAAAGGTCATTAATGTAAAACACAGCTAATATCACAATCAGTGAGGAGAAACTGAAAACTTTTCCTTTAAGATCTGGTACAAGGCAAAGATACCTACTCTTGCCATTTTTATTCAATTTAGTAATCAAAGTACTATCAAGAACAGTTAGACAAGAAAAATAATTAATGGCATTGAAATAAGAAATAAAGTAAAATTATCTCTATTTGCAGATAAGGCGATCCTATATGTAGAAAATTCCAAAGACTTCACACAAAAAAAACTATTAGATCTAATAAATGAATTCAGTAAATTCACAGGTTATAAAAAATATCAACATACACAAATATGTGGCATTTCTATATATAAATAACCTAAATTTTCACCTAGTCAAAAAAAAAATCAAGAAAACAATTCCATTTGCAATAGCATTAAAAACATTTTAAGAATAAATTTAACCAAGGAAGTAAAAGAACTATACACTGAAAAACTATTAAACATTAATAAAAAAATTTGAAGACACAAATAAA